TCCCCCTTGACCTATAAAAGGGAGGGCAGGGCTCCCCACTAAGGGGAGGTGGATCAATTCTGAACAGGTTAACACACACACACGCACCACACGGCCAAGCTCCAGCAGAGCTCTTGGCATCCTTCCAATCACTCCATCAGGGACTTGGGGTCTTTCCCTCTCCCAACCGTTTGTACCCCCTACTACGAACCTCATTCGGTGCTAATAACACGAGCAGCAACAGACTGGACGTAGGGACATTCGGCCCGAACCAGTATAACCCTTGTGTCCTTTAGCGCACCATCCGGGCCTAACGCGCATCAATTACAAATTTACTCACCGGTGTTTGTTCGAAACACCGACAGAGGTCGGCTCAAGGGGCTGACATGTGGGCCCGGGAGTCCCCGAGACCCTAGAGGCCACATAGGGGTTTGTCTTCTTGAGTCACGCCCCGCGCGTGACCCTGTCGGAGGAGTGGTTGATGCCCCGCCCGTGCGGGGCAGCGCCAGAGAGCCCACCGAGCCTTGGTGGCTCAGGGCATACTTTCTTGCGCCCAGGCCTTGGTTGGTGCCAGAGGCCGGGAGGAGGCCAAGGATTGGGTCCAAGCTCCCGTCGATCAAGAGTTTAAGGCTTGGTCGAGTCCCCGAGCCCTGAGTAAAGGCGACGGTCGTGCTCGGGCTCGGCCCGAGGGTACGTGCGAACGTATCCGATGGGTATAGCCCCCGAGGCCCCGGGCGATCCTAGAAGGGTCGGTCGGGGGGTCTCTTGTTCGGGAACCCTTGATCCCGAGGCTTACCCATATTGTTGAGATCTCGTCAGTTTGTCTATTAAAATTGTTTGTGTAGCAGTGATGATTGAGCATCATTTAAACATACCGTAGCATAAGTAAAAGTAAAATCGCTAGTGTCAATATTTTTGGAATCGAGCAACCAAATTAAAATCACATCGTATTCTTGTGTTTCTTGTTACAATTGTTTGAAAACAAGACCACACTCTCTAGTGTGTTTTAGTGACTTTTCATAAATAACTTCATAGCAAAAAAATGCTTTTGCTACATTACAATTAACTTGCATAGTGGACTTCAGAAAAAAAAAGTTAGAATATGGATGTCGATGGTGTAAAGAAGCATTAATGGAGCAGACAAAGGGTGAGCATGTATATATATGCAAAATTGGATAAGCAACGAATTCCCAAATGAGTTACCCAGTTATAATCTATGGGAGAAGCTTTCTCTTTTCTCATCTCAATGGCCAATACCAAATGTCATCTCGGAGAAGAAGAATAGTAAGAGCTAGAAGATACCCGCGTTGCTGCAGGATTCCCTTAAAGAACCTTTTTTATATGAGTTAAATCTTCTTTACGTTCTTACATCTATTTTATCAAAATTGGTTGTATTAAGAGGTTGAATGTTAGTGGATGACATGGCTATTACTATTAGTGGAGATGATGTGGATAGTTAGTGGAAGATGATGTGGATGACTTGTATGTTGAGATGGAACTTGTAGCGGGGATTAGCTTTATAAGAGAGATATAGATATGAATAAAGTCCACTAGCAATTTTCAAATTTGTTCGGTTGTGTCATCTCGGTTCCTAAGCTGGTAAATCATCCGTTTAGATCATTAAACTTGTTCATAGGTGTCACCCGATCCCTAAACTCACAAATCACCTATTTAGGTTCTCAAACTTGTTCGATTATATCATCATGTTTTCTAAACATGCAAATCGCCCGTTTAGGTTCTCAGACTAGTTCAGTTATATCATTCCGGTCACTAAACATGTAAATTGCCTGCTCAGATCCTCAATCTATGTCCAGGTCTGGCTATCTCCAGCAGAGTACCCATAAGGGCACCCAAACCTAAAATGGGTCTTCGATGGAAATGTATTGGCCTCCACAGAGTACCCATACAGGAGATCCATTTTAGGTGGCAGTAGAGGCATAATATAACCCAAATATGAACATCATCTCTCCTGAAAACCCATTCTGCAGAGATGGTTCTCTTTTGGATCCTATTGTTGGAGAAGACAAAAAATAAGTATTGAACCTTTTGTCTGTAGCGCTACCCAAACATCGAATGAGTCTTGTATTTTAGGTGCCGTTGTTGGAGATAGTCAGGCAGTCTAAATGGGTCTTGACCATTATCCTTATGCAAGAACACTTCCATAGATTCATGGGTTGTAGCACCCCAAGCCTCCAGCCGTGCTGCCCCAGCTGTGTCGCTACCAGCCCCAACCGTGTCTCCCAAGCTATGTTGGTCCTGAGCCGTGAGCTAACTAAGGCATTGTTTAAATTCATGGTGTAAAGTTTTAGGATGTCACATCGGGTATCACATGAAGGTGTCGCATGGGGTGTTCGGATACTAATAAAAAAACAAATTACACAATCCGTCAGTAATCCACGAGATGAATTTATTAAGTCTAATTAATCCATCATTAGCACATGTGTTACCGTAGCACCACATTGTCAAATCATGGACTAATTAGGCTTAAAAGATTCGTCTTACAAATTAGTCACAAACTGTACAATTAGTTATTTTTTAATATATATTTAATACTTCATACATGTGTTCAAATATTCATTGAGATGTGGAGTAAACTTTAGAGAGAGGAACTAAACAAGTCCTCAGAAGAGCGGGAGCTCAGTGGATAGAGAGGATAGACAAGTTAGATGGAGTTGACATGTGGGTGCCACATGCTGTTAGCATACCACATCAGTATATACGGGTATAGATCTAGACCTATTTAAACTGACTATAAGATCCGAACATCGATTGATAATCTAAACAGACAATTTATGATTTCGAGACTCGAATGGCACAACCGAACAAATTTGATGATCTAAATTATATTTAATTATTAAAATTGAAAATATTTAACTTCTCGACAAACAAGAATGAGATTTTTTAGGGACGGAGAGAGTACACGCTAAACAACGGCACCGTTGCATATGGCTTGAGAATCATTTTCAAATGTTTCAGGCTCGGGGGCCAATAAAAAGCTATAATATGGTACTCCTTCCATCGCAAAAAGAATATAAATCTCGTTGCAGATGAGTCAATGGATCTTAAATTTGTCTAAGTTTATAGAAGATATTATTTATATTTAGATCTCCAATTAGGTTTATTACCAAAATATATTTTATAATTAATTAATCTACATCATAATCATTAATACTTTTTTTATATATTTGGTCAAAGAATCTATGATTTCTTGCAAAGTCAGATTTATAATTTTTGGGCACGAATGGAGTAGGAAGAAGGATGTGCCACGCCAACCTTAGCAGTAATAAATTTACGACAGTGCTAGCGTCCGTACGGACGCCCATGCAGCACTCCGTTTTCCACGCTCGGGCCAGCACGCCCCCACAAACCTACATTTCGCGCGCCAGACCGCACGCAGGAACTGCTCGTGCCCCCTTCGCTTCTTACGCACATTGCAACATGTGTAACATCCGATCTAGTTTTGCAATATCCAAAACACTTGCAACATACGTCCAAAATAGCTGAAACACTTGCAACATATATTTGAATCACCTGCAGAACACCAGAAAAACTTGAAAACATATGTGTAGCCATTGCAAACATTGCAAACATCAAGATGAAACACCGGCAACATACGTATTAAAACACCTAAAACAGTTGCATATATATATGCAACATCCCCATCTAGTTTTGCAACATCCAAATGAAACACTTGCAATATATGTCTGAAACAGATGAAACATTTCGAATATACATTGAGGCATACGCGTATAGCCTATTGCAATATGTGCAACATCCCGATCTACTTTTACAGCATCCTTACGAAACACTTGCAGCATACCTCTAAACCTTCTGAAACATTTGAAATATACGCTTGCAACATGCATCGTATCTTGATATGGCCTCCTTCGTCGTCTGCTTCGGGGCACCACAGCCGTAGCAGGAGGCGAGACCGGAGGGCTTCTGCGCTAGGGCCCGACGCTTCTCCTTGCGCGGCGGCCTTAGTGGCTAGCTGGCGGCCGAGGGAGCGGTTGCCACGCGTAGGCGCAGCGGTTCCCGCATTGTCAGGCGAAGTGGGCCGCAGAGCAGAAGCAGCGGGGCGGCGCGGTGGAGCAGGAGATGGAGCAATGTGGGGTGACCGTCGACGGCGGAGCAGGCCACAGAGTAGCAGCCTGTTCGGTTGACTGGTTCGTATCGTTGCTGGTTCGTTTATGTGAGAGAGAAGTACTGCTGGCTGATTCACGTGAATAGTTGCCGTGTGAGGGGCCTGTAGGAGCAGGCGTGATTGTCGTCTCCTTTTCTTTTCTTTATCCAACCGGCGTAAAGGAACAGACGAACGCGGATATTGTAATAAAAAAAGACGAGCTAGTGCTGAGCAGAGGTCTATTAAGCTGGTACTCCGTATGCAGTACTAAAAGGGGCGTCCGGACGGAGAACGCCCTACATGATAAATTTATGATTCAAGATAGGCAACGACAACGTTTCTGTGTTGCTTCATTCACCGTATGTACGTACTGGTAAGTGAAGCAGACACGTAATTTGGAGCTAAAGCAGCGGAAAACTACGATCCTAATCCCAGGGCGAATCTTCTCGGTGGTCGCCGTGGTGGCTGCCAGGCCTACTCGGTTGGATTAGACTAGTAGTTAAACTGAAAGCTCGTGTGCCACACATGCAAAAGAAGCGAAGGGACAGCGACTCCAACCTCTGCTTTTGCCGTTCCGAGTTGGGACAAGGACGCGGCGGATCTACGCGGCTTACCTGTCCCGCCCGTTCACACGTTCCGCGGCAGCAGGCTGTCACCGAACATGCGTCCAGTCCCCAGCGCCCGTGTGTCATGTGTGGTGTAGTGTGTGTGTATATATATCTCCTACGACAACTCACAAACCACAGCTCGCCTGAAGCAATACCAACACTCAAGACTCAAGCAGAGCTCGGATGGCGCTTCTAACGCTACTATTGTGGTGGTCGCTGCTGTCGCCGTGGCTCAGCCCGCCGCGGCGTGGTTCATCTTCTTCAACGCCGTCGTCGGCGCCATCGCCGTCATGTCTACCAACGGCGCGCAGGCAGGGCAGGCTGGCGGTGGGGCTGGGGCCACGTCGTCGCCTCGGCGCAGGCTCTGCCGCAGCGGGTCATCTATGGTCCTGGATCGTCTCAGGTCCTTCTTCATCTTTCCCATGGGGCAGCTGCCGATCGATGAAAGCAGTGCTGCCTCGGGCTCGCACTGCTACCACTGCTGCTCGAGAGAAGCAGAGGCGACGTCCGGGGCTCAGGTTTGCGCGCCTGAGCGCAATCCACAGGCGGTGGTGATCGCAACAACCGGCGATACGGCAGTGATCAGCGCCGCGCAACCGAGCGCGCCTCTGGCGATGGCAACAGCGGCAGCGGAGGACCACGCGCCTCCTGCGCCACCACCGGAGGAGGAGCACAAGGCAGAGGCAGAGGCAGAGAAGGAGCAAGATCATGATGAGTCCATCAGCTTGGACGAGGCGTACGCGCTAGCCCAGCGGCATCGCGCGCAGCCGCTGGCGTCGCCATCGGCCGTGGCAGCTTCTGCCACTGCCACCGCTGCCCCTGCTGCGTTGCCGACGGAGCACAGGAAGAAGTCAGCGAAGGTGGTGGCGGACTGGCGGAGGGTATCAAAAGCAGGGGAGGCGCTGGAGGGGAAGGCGGAGTTGAACGCGCGCGCAGAGCTGTTCATCCGGCAGTTCCGGGAGGACCTCAGGCTGCAGAGGCTCAACTCCATCCTCAAGCACACCCACGCCCTGGGCTCGCCAACGGCGGCGCGGTAACCGGCCGGCGTGCGGGAAAAATTTTCTTGCCCCGCCTATATGTACTGCCACAATATATATATATATATATATATATATATATATATATATATATATAATATATATATATATATATATATATATATATATATATATATATATACAACCTGGAACCCGGCGAGGCGCAGCGGGCTCCACGAATTATTGGGCCTCCGTAGCTGGCTACAAACCCCATAATTTGGCCCTCTGTAGCCACTTTGAGTTACGATAATTACTAATGGTATGAAAATGTAATCCTTTTAAGATCATATGTAACTCATTACTAAATGGTTTACTATAATTAAAAAAAGTTATATATACTCCTTATAAAAAAGTATGATATCCCCATGTGTTATATGCATAACTCAACTATCATAAATATGAATTGACATTATATCATGAAAATTAGTATATAAAATTAAGTATGAATACATACTTTATTAGGTGGCTACACCTAATATATGTATACATACATACTCTAAAAGGTTACTTATATAACCACTTTGATTTGCCACGTGCCATAATGTTTATATCAATTCACGATAACATGAATAATCCGCATTTAAGCTATATTAGTTAGATAGAGGGAGTAGTTACTACAACTCACGGTGATATATATATAAAAGAACATCTTCATCGTCCAGGCGTCCAGCTCAGAATTGTGATACACATGAAAGTGTACAAATTGCCAGGACATCACCTGAATTCTTAAAGCTTAGGTACATGTAGATGTAGCTGCAGAGTCCGTTGAGTAGAGCATAACAGAAAAGAGCTAAAAGAAAGGGCAGGGCTAGCGTCTAGACGTCCGGACGGATGTTCGCATCTGCAATCCGTTTCTTGGGCCATTTCGTGCGCCCATGCAGGGCCCATGTCATCCGGACGTCGCTGCAGTCAATTTCTACGCCTGCGTTTCGCGCGCCCATGCAGGCACCTACGCCGCACGGACATCGCCCGCACCGCCAGACCACGCGTGGAGACCACTCATGCCCCCTCCGCTTCCTACACATGCACGCGGGAACATCTGTGCCCCCTCGGCGGTGTCCCAGCAGCTGCAACAGGCGGTTGCATCAGGTAGGTCCCATTACAACATGCGCAACACTAGATCTATTTTTTTCAACATCCAGACGTAACACTTGCAACATACGTCCAAAACAGCTGAAATACTTGTAACATACGTCTAGAACACTTCCAAAACACCTAGAAAACACTTGAGGCCGTTGCAAACATATGCAACATCCAGATAAAACAATTGAATCATACGTATGAAACACCTAAAACACTTGAAACATACACTTAGAACAAGCATGTATATGCAACATCCAGATCTACTTTTGCAACATCTAGATGAAACACTTGAAAAATACGTCTAAACACTTGAAACATATGATTGCAACATGAAACATATGCTTGCAACAATGTATATAGCCATTACAACATATGCGACATCCAGATAAAACATTTGAAACACGACATCACCGGTGGCACGACCTACCTAGTGGGAAACTGTGGTAGCCAACAATCGGCGCTCAGGTGTAGCGGAGAGGGAGGATGGCGGCAAGCGGGGAGCTGGGCGTGGTGGAGAAGACCATGCCGAAGTAGTCGTCGTGGACCATGCCGCGTTGGCACGGAGAACTCGGTGGCAGGAGTGGGAGCTCCACCAGGTGAGTGGAGACGGTGGTAGGAGCGGGGCCGCCACACACGCGCATGACACGACCACGAGTTCGAGAGCCGTGGCATGAACCGCGTGGTGGTCGAATTGGCCAGCGTGAAAGCCATCACGCGGTGATGAGCTTGGTCAGGGTGCATTGGGTGGAGCTCTGGTCAGTATGACCAAGGGTGAGGGCAGAGCGGAGCTCACTCAAGCACACCAGTTCACGGAAGGCAGCGACAACTCGCCACGGAAGCCAAGAAACCGCTCAGTAGTGGCAAACGACGGCATGCATGCCTTGACCATCAACGATGCTATGCAGCGAAGGTGGCGGTGGTGGAAAAGTGAGATGAGAGAATAAGGTAGGAGAGAATTAATAAAGTAAGCCTGAGGATGGAGGCATCCGAGCCTACTTGTGCCTCTGCTAGAGCGTTCGATGCCACGATGCGTCCGAATGCACGGACACATGGTTTATGAAAGGTGACAATGTTAGAATGGTCCCAAAACAACGATGTCATGTTCACTCCATGCATGATCAAAGAATATGGGCGTGTTTGGTTTGTTGGACTCATCGAAGCTTGACAGCAAGCAAGCCTGGTGTTCGGGCCTGTTCTGCTTGCTCAACTAGGCCTCAGTCGTTCGGGCCTTCGCTAGCTGATGTGTCGTGGACCGCTCGGCCTGCTAATTAATCGGTGCCTTGAGACACCTGGGGATTATAACCCCGACAGTAGCCCCAAGCGTTTTTGCGATCATGAAGTGATCGTGAAAGCGCTGTGATGCGTGCATGCCGGGTGCTGGTTTGTAGTTCGTGGCTTGTTCGAGCTTCATCGCTCGACCCCTTGCGGGCTGGTGCGCTTAATGCGGTAGGTGGCTGTTGTGTTTCGCCCCGTCATGATGCCCTAATGATGTGGTACGTGATCGCTGAGCCCTGTCGTGTCAGTGTGCTACGTATCGGGGTTCGCAACCCAGGTGGGACTGAGTGGTCTCGTCAACGCTGTACCGGCCTTGCCTTCGTGAGAGTCTCGATTTTTCTAACCTCGTGCGGGCATCTGACATTGACAGTGACCTCCCATGATTCGCCATGCGGCGCGGGGGTCTCTGGCTATTTAGTCCGTCCCTAGCCTATAAATGGAGGCCTTTCCACCATTTGAGGCACCATGACTGTAACTATGAACTATTCTTTCGTCTCTCTGAGCGGCTAGGTGCTGAGAGAACGAGGAGATAAGGGAGGAAAATCTCAGGAAAGCCACTGTTGGTATTTCTTAACGTCTATAGAAGTTAATCCGCAAGTATACGGAATTATCATTGTAGCTTTCACCCAGAAGTATTTAGGGTATCGTATTTCCACAAGGAACGGACATATTTCTTCTAACTAATTTGTCCAAGGACAACACAAGGGTAAAGTGAGAAAGAGTAGAGATGGATTCCTATGACTTTTGGGTCTACGGAAACATAAACTCTACTTTCACTTACTTACTTCGGGCACTGGGTTGCAACTGGTCTGCCAATCGATGCTGGCCTGTAGCTCTACGTCATACCCGAACGTGGGGGATTACAAGGGACGGACAGGGCTGTCACCACCTGCCGTCTACCCCTCAACCAGAGGGCCCCTATCGACTACTACACTAGCGTTAGCTAGGAACATCCGTCTTTATCAGCAGTCCTCTACTAGAGCATCCGCCACGGGTACTGTCGATGTTTTACCACCGATAGCCTGCCACAGGGGTACCGTGGCAGTATCGTTCGGGTTTCGGCGTATGCTGAACTCGATGGTGAACGCAAGAGACAGTCGATTTATCCTGGTTCAGGCCCTCGATCGTAGATCGAGTAACGACCCTACGTCTAGTCGGCGTTTGCCTTTTGCGTTGGATTGATTATGAAGTGTTATGTTGTACAATTGTTGTCCTCCCTTTTAGGAGCCCTGCCCTCCTTTATATTATCAGGAGGCCAGAGTCCTATTCGGTTTACAATGAGATTTCCTAGTAGGATTACTTAATAGTTCTTCTATTTAAGATTACATGGGAAGAATCCTAGTTGAACTAGATCTTTTATCTCTCTTGCGGGGTATCCTGTAGGTCCCACATCGACAAGCCCCCGAGCACTTCATGGTTGAGCTCTGAAAGTCTCGCTTTGCTCCTTCAGGTCTTGTTAGGTAGGAACAAAATGTTATCCGAGTGCTTTCTGGAGTGAAACCTTGTAGCGCTTCTTGGAACCTTCGAGTGATGAGTGTTTTGTGAAGAAAAAGTATATCCATCTGGTTGTAGCCCCCGAGCCTCTTGCTATTTGGAACAAGGAGCTAGAGGATCTTTTTTTGAAGTTGCTCTGATTGTTCGCTGAAGTTTTGTCAAAAAGAACTCGAATATGGCTCGTTCCGGGTTCTTTTTGTCGTAATGTCTTGAAGTGGTCTGCGTTGAGGAAGTCTTTTGATGACGTGCGCTTTTTCGGAGAAAAAGTGCACTCACTGAATGTAGCCCCCGAGCCTCTTGCTATTTGGAACAAAAAGTTGGAGGGTCTTGATCCTTTATGTTTGTTTGAAAATCATGCTCAAGTAGTCCCCGAGACTTGAATTTTGTCATCATCCGAGTAGTTTTGTGGTATCTTTCCGAAGCGGTCCTTTAGTCTTGGATTAAACCATCATCCGAGTAGTTTACGTGGTATCTTTCCGAAGCGGTCCTTTAGTCTTGGATTAAACCATCATCCGAGTAGTTTCAGCGGCGTGCGACCTCTCCCAGCCTATGTCCGGGTTCTTTTTTGGTGGGTGCAATTTTTCATAAAAATTGCACTCACTTTGAGTGTAACCCTGAGCCTCTTGCTTTTGCTTGCAAAAGTTGGAGGGTCTAGATTCTGTCTTCAAAAAATTCTCCGAGTTCTTTTCTTTTGGAAAAGAAGTCGGTTGAAGAGTCTTGATGCGTCGTCGTCGTCGTTGTAGTCTTGAGTTTCTTGTACTTTTTGTCTTTTGTCTTTGGTTCTAAGCCCCGGGAGTAGTTGAAATGAGGGCGAATTCCCTAGCTTAGTGTTGATTAAGCTATGATCTTTGGCCGAGCCCCGGCGTATATCCGTGTTGTTTTGTTCAGGAAGAACTTCGGATCACGAGGTCTTAAGCGTATTCTTTGATAGTCTGCTTCTTTGTCGAGATGTAGTTGTATGGTGGTGGTTAAGTGTAAATGCCTTTTGTTCACGGGTTGTCTTGTGATGGTATATTCTTCCGAATATGCCCGTCTTGATACTATTTTCCTCTCTACTTTGAATCGTCCATTATTGAGTCTGTCCTTTCACTTTCACCGTCCTTTGTCGGGCTTATTTCGTTGGTACTCCTGGTCCATGTGCGCCGCTC